TCAAAATATTTTACAATATGGAATAGATGATACCAGTGGATAAACCAGAGGAGGGGGAATGGGTAAAGATGAAATCCAGAAGAAATCAATACAATTAAAAATAGCACTGTCAGATGGATAGAAAAGGAAATAAGTCACTGTATGTATGTATATATGTATATATAATAGAAATTAGTCAGTAGGTGAAGTTGTGTACTGTATATGTAAATTTGTTTTTGATTAAGAGAAACTTGTATGTTTTAAATGTTTTTTAAGAATGAATAAAGTTTTGTTTTAAAATTTAAATAAATAAATAAATGCTAGGAGACGCATATCGTGTAACTTTGAATGTTCGCTAAGGGAATGAGTTTCCCTTCTATCTTCTCATCTAGATCATTTATGAAGATGTTGAAGATTACTGTCCCCCAAGACAGAACCTTGAGGTATCCCATTGCAGGCTTCCCTCCATGTAGATCAGTGGTTCTCAACCTTCCTAATGCCGCGACCCTTTAATACAGTTCCTCATGTTGTGGTGACCCCCAACCAGGGGTGGGTTCTAAATTTTTTTACTACCGGTTCTGTGGGCGTGGCTTATTTTGTGGGTGTGACTTGGAGGTCATGTGACTGGGTGGGCATGGCTAGCTGGTCATGTGACCAGGTGGCCATGGCTATGTGTATAGGGACTACTCAGAGGGCTGAAAAAAGTCATTTCTGACAGGTCCTCGGACTTTTGACTGGTCCTCACTCTTATGACCATCCTCACATTTATGCCTGTGCAGCATTCTTAACAACCATGTCACTCATTTCACAACTGCTTCTCTTCAACATGGTGATAAGATAGGGCAAAAAACATAAAATGTGAGGACAGTCGTAAATTCGAGGACTGGTCAAAAGTGCGAGGACCAGTCAAAAATAACTTTTTCAGCCCTCTGAGTAGTCCATATGCATAAAAGGATACAGCAATAGAGAGGGATGAAGGAAGGGAAGGGAAATTAGAGTAGGAGTGAGGGTAAGAGAGGGAGGAAGAGAGGAGGAGAAGGAGAAAGGAAGAGGAAGTAGGGAGAAGAAGAAGAGGGGGGGAAGAGAAAGTAAGAAGGAAAGAAAAGACAGAGGTGGTAGGTTTGAGGAGAAAGATTGCTGTACAATAAAAAAGATGAAAGGGAAGAAAGCCAACCCCAAACAAATATAAAGATATTAAGATAAAGAATGAATTGTTAAACTTTAAAGAATAAAAGAGAACAAACAGGAATAAATAGCAATAATTAGAAACACACATACAAACATATAACGTATTTTCTTTGAACAGAGTATTTGGCTGGTTCACAAATTTAAACAGTTGTAGGAGGTTAGCACCCACCCCTTTCCTAGAAGAATGAAATATTTTGGGAAATATTAAAAAGGCAGAATATTATATTTCCCTGGATGAGAAATGGAGAAGCATATTTTACAGACAAAGCAGCTCCCACCTTCCTGCCCCCCACCCTTTGTTAATGGACCAGAGGCAGAAAGTCAATCCTTTGTCAAAGGACATTTGCAACACAATAGCAACAGAAACTAACACAATGGGCCCCATCTAGCAACCGAAACTCACCACACGTGACCTGGGAAGCATGTGACCTGGGAAGCACATGTGACCATCAGCCAGCAAGGCTAGCTAAGACCCCCACCCCCTGGGAGTCTGACAACCAATCAGGATACTCTTTCGGGGCCCAAAGAAATGCAAAGCCAGAGAGAGCATAAAAACCCGAGGATTTACTGTATCTGCTCCTTTTCTGTTCAGGAACTCAAGCCACGTGATCCTGTCCACCATTAAACCATCTTTCCAAGCAGTCTCCATGTTTCCAGTGTCTTTTTCCCCACTTGGAGCAGAACCCAGAAGGATATTTCTTCCAACACAGTGTTTAGTCATTTCAATTAAATTTACAATTTCTATATTTCCTTTTTACCATATTTATTCCTCATCTATTTTTTAAAAAAACCAATATTACCCTTCATCCTCATCTCTAATCTTAATCAAATTCAATTTTTCCCTTCTATTCTATATTATACCCCTTCGCATTGTCATCTATTTTTATATCCATCCTCACATTGGTTAATTATGTAATTATGTAATACAGTTGTTTAATACAAATTCAACATTTTAATATAAATTAGTTATATAACTATCTTTTTTGTATATTAATCAATATGAACATGAATATTCCAATTATTTCCATGCAATCCAATTTCTTACAAATCAATTAATTATATTTACCAATAATAATAAACCAAATAATTTCCCCCATATATTCCTCCAAACCACAACTTCTGCTTTCAACACAACACATTTCTGCTTTCAACACAATATACAATTAATAGTATCTCAATTATTACAATTCCCTAGTTAAATAGAGCTTTTTTTCTTTTGTGTTTTAAAATCTTGAATCTCCTCTTTTGCCCTAAATTTCCCATTGTTTGCAGTTTTGCACCTACCTTTTTTGGTGAGGAAAAAGAAAAAGAAATCTCTCTCTGCCTCATTTTGTCACGTTGCAGCAAAGACCCTGCTTTACTTTCAATTTCGCTTTTTCAGCATAGCTAGGGGAAAAAAAATCTGCTCCAGGAATTTACCTCTTTGCAGCTAGCTAGCAAAAGAGCCCTCCGCAAAACAGCTGAGAGCAAATCAGCTGAGAGTCCGGAGGCTGATCAAATCAACTTATATAATTAACCTACCGTATTTTCCGGCGTATAAGACGACTTTTTAACACATGAAAATCTTCTCAAAAGTCGGGGGTCGTCTTATACGCCGGGTGTCGTTCTCCTGTAACCAGGCAGACCAGCCCGAAAGGCTCTGACGAGCCTTAAATGGCTCTGGCGATCCCAGCTCTGACAATCCCAGCTGAGTTCCCTGCAACTCAGCTGGGATCGCCAGAAACCATGTAAAAGGAAAAAAGTTTTTCCCTTTTACTCTGACAATCCCAGCTCTGACGATCCCAGCTGAGTTCCCTGCAACTCAGCTGGGATCGCCAGAAACCATGTAAAAGGAAAAAAGTTTTTTCCCTTTTACTCTGACGATCCAAGCTCTGACGATCCCAGCTGATTTCCCTGCAACTCAGCTGGGATCGCCAGAACCATGGCTCTGACAGTCCCAGCTCTGACGGTCGATCCCAGCTGAGTTCCCTGCAACTCAGCTGGGATCGCCAGAAACCATGTAAAAGGAAAAAAGTTTTTTCCCTTTTACTCTGACGATCCAAGCTCTGACGATCCCAGCTGAGTTCCCTGCAACTCAGCTGAGATCGCCAGAACCATGGCTCTGACGGTCCCAGCTCTGACGATCCCAGCTCTGACAATCCCAGCTGAGTTCCCTGCAACTCAGCTGGGATCGCCAGAACCATGGCTCTGATGGTCCCAGCTCTGATGATCCCAGCTCTGACAATCCCAGCTGAGTTCCCTGCAACTCAGCTGGGATCGCCAGAGCCATGTAAAAGGGAAAAAGTTTTCCCCCTCCAGCTTGCTTACCTCAGCTGCTAGTCGCAACGCTTGCCTTGCTTCGCTTGCCTGAATCTATTCCATCAGCAAGCAACTCTCTGCCTGCAATCAAGCAAGCAGGGAGTTGTGGACTTCAACTCCCAGAATTCCTCAGCCAGCAAAGCAAAGCTGGCTGAGGAATTCTGGGAGTTGAAGTCTACAAGTCTTAAAGTTGCCAAGGTTGGAGACCCCTGTTCTATTGGGTAAGTTTTTTTCCCCTTTGGGAGCTTTAAAAAAATAGTCAATTGGGTTTTTTTTAGTTGTTCTTTTTTAGACCTAGCCATTTAAAGTTCAGGAAGTTTTAAATTTAGCTTTCATATAAAAATAAAAATAAAATAAAATAAAATAATATTTGTGCAGCTTTCTGAGATTTAGTGTGTTTCTGTAGTGATTCACTCTAACTACACAAACACACAAAATCTCACATAGCTGTATGTGGAATTTTGTGTGTGTAAAGTGTGAAAGTTGTTTTTTTGGACTTTTTGTGGCTGTGTGAGGTTCCTGCTTGTTGCAGGGGCCATTTTGGGTCTAGCACAGCTGCTTTTACATTGTGGGTGAGCCAGTTGTGTTGTGTGTGTGTGTAGAGTGTGAAAGTTTTTTGGGGGGCTTTTTGTGGCTGTGTGAGGTTCCTGCTTGTTGCAGGGGCCATTTTGGGACTAGCACAGCTGCTTTTACATTGTAGGTGAGCCAGTTGATGTTTTTTAATTTTTATTTGGTGTGCATTGGAAGAGGGGTAGTCTTATATGGCGAGTATAGCCCAAACCCTATATTTTAACAGGAAAAGTTGGGTGTCGTCTTATACGCCCAGTCATCTTATACGCCGGAAAATACGGTATGTTGAAGCTGAAAGGGGCTGTTTTTTCTATTTTTGCAGGCACCGGTCTATTCATTTTTCTTTTAACACTGATCAGCTGTAGGGCGGCCCTTTGAAGCCCCGCGGCAAGAATTTAAAGTTTTTTTCCCTCTAGCCATCAGCTGGGACTCCGGAGGCAGCAATAGATTGGGAGTGGGCGGGGTAAGCGAACGGCGAACGGCAATCTAACGCAGAGGGTGAGGGTGAGTGAAGGCGTGGGGGGGGGGAGAGAGGGCTTTGGCGACCCCTGTGAAATGGCCCTTCGACCCCCAAAGGGGTCGCGACCCCCAGGTTGAGAACCGCTGATGTAGATGTAATTCCATTGGAATTCATTTGTTGGTGGTACTGTCTATTCCACATTTTTCTATCTTACCAAGTAGGCTATAGACTACTTTGTCAAATGCCTTACTGAAGTCTAAGTAAAGTACATCCATAGCATTCACCTTATCCAGTAATTTAATCACCTTGTCAAAGAAGGCAATAAGGTTTGTCTAGTATGTTGTTTTTACAAACCCATGCCTGCTTCTAGTAATCTTCTTGCTCTTTTCTCCATGCTCACAAATGTGCTGCTTGATTATCTTTAATCAGTTTCACTTATCCTGCAACATAAATCAAGCAAACCCTAGAAGTATTCTATAAATTTGACCACAATCCAAGAACTCACAGCTTTGGAAGTATGCAGGTACTGAGACACCATTTCTCTCTTGATACTAATGTCTTTCTCCCTTAAAGGCTGCTGCTTTTCCTCATTTAGATTCATATCCACCTAGCAAAGAAAGCATAAAAATAGTCATAGAATTATCGAGTTGGGAGGTATCTAGGAAATCATCAAGTCTATCCTCATGTACACTGCAGGAATGATTCCATACACCATCCCTACTAGGTGAAGCTATATTCCTTTGACAAAATTACAATACTTGATTTCTCCCAAATGAATTCTGGTTTTAGGATTTTTGTTTACTTGCTGTAGTAGAAAAACAAATCAAAGTCTTCCTTCTCAGAGCAGAAAGAATTTTTCACATCACAGAAATCACACTTTCATTTCAGAATAACTATAAGCATAGGAAACTTTTAGCTTTGTTATTCTCAAGATATAATTGTAATGGTACTTACCAGCATCTGCTCAAAGAGAACCAGCACATCTTCATCAGAGATATCCTGCAATGTCTGACCTGACCCAGAAATATCTGAGTATGAAGTAGATGAATTCCTATATGTTGTATTGGGTTTTTCCTTCTCCTTCTTTATCCTCATACTGGTGAACCTTTCAAGCTGATTAATAAAATATAAAATTAACATCAGTGTTCTTTTTCAATTCTTTTCCATTCAATTTTAAATTGTGCTACTTTCTTAACTATAATGTGTGAGTACTTTGGCAATATATTGGAAAAATCAAAATCAATGTTCTTTTAAATCTCTTCATGCAATTCTGCTAATTACCAGGGCTGTCTGTGCAAAGCTTCTAGTGGGCCTTTCACCAAAGTTTCAACTGAATCATTCCATTAAAAGAGATTACATATCAAAGTAGAGATTCACAAGTATTGAATCAAACGTCTGCAAAATGCTTTACAAAATTGATTTCTTTTCTGCTGCTGTATACAACACACACATCCACACAACACTGTTGCAATTCCAAACAGAGAGGCCAGTGAGAAGATTAAATGCAGAATGGCTAATGAATAATCTGTTACTGAAATTATGCCCACTTTAAGGAGTTGTTTTATTAAACTATTAAATTGACTCTTTTGGGATGGCAAAGCTAATATTATTTTGAACTGTATTTACTTTCTCACCTCTCAATATCTTTGATGTGCCATTTAAGTCTTAACTCGCTGACTATTGGGGGTGAATCATTGGCCCCCACGGAAAGGGCTCGCAACTTGGGCGTCCTCCTGGATTCACGGCTGTCTTTAGAAGAGCACTTGACGGCCGTGACCGGGAGGATTTTTCCTCAGGTTCGCCTGATCCGCCAGTTGCGTCCCTTTCTAGATCAGGACTCCCTACACACAGTCACTCATGCCCTCGTCACCTCTCGTCTGGACTATTGTAACGCTCTCTACATGGGGCTCCCCTTGAGGTGCACTCGGAGGCTCCAACTGGCGCAGAGTGCGGCCGCGTGGGTGGTGATGGGAGCAACGTGGAGCTCCCATGTAACACCTCTCCTGCGCGAGCTGCACTGGCTCCCGGTGGTCTTCCGAGTGCGCTTCAAGATTTTGGTTACCACCTTTAAAGCGCTCCATGGCTTAGGACCTGGTTATCTACGGGACCGCCTGCTACCACCAATAGCCTCCCACCGGCCAGTACGCTCCCATAGAGAGGGGCTCCTCCGGGTGCCGTCGGCCAAACAATGTCGACTGGCGGCCCCTAGGGGGAGAGCCTTCTCTGTGGGGGCACCTACAATCTGGAACGAGCTCTCCCCGGAGATACGGAGGATCCCGGATCTTCGCACCTTCCGTTGCGCGCTTAAAACGTTTTTATTTCATCAAACTGGCCTGGCCTAAATCTTCTCCTTTTTTAAATTTAAATTTTTAACACAAATTTTAATCTGTTTAATTATGGGGTATTTTAAAATTCAGCCTAAATTATTTAATTTGTTTTAATCTATTTTAAATTTTGTATCTCTGTGTTTTATCCTCTGGCTGTTCACCGCCCTGAGTCCTTTGGGAGAAGGGCGGTATAGAAATTTAATAAAATAAAAATAAAGAAATAAAATAAACTCATTGTCCCTTGTGACAATAATGTTACAATCCATATGGGCTCAAGATGGAGGATTGATTCAAGGAAACTCAATATGCACTCTTGGGTCAAACTCTTTATTAGGGCAGATTTAAACTTTTTGACAATGATTGAACAAGTGTATAATATAGGGACTATCCCAAGCATTAGCATGAGTTTCAAAGAATAAACGTATGATTAAAGTACTGCTTTTTATTCTTTTGCTAAAATTGGTAGCTATAACACATTTAAAACAATGTTGTATGTGTTTCTAGGATTAGGGATGGCAAAACTATGAATGCCACTTTTTAATTTATCTCATTGTTTCAGCTTACTCCTATTGCTTCTCTGAATAATATAGTATATTTTCACAAGCCACTATACTAAGACAATCCTGATTCTTCTAACCCCTTTCCAGCTTGTGAATTTGCTTGCCAACTAGCTATGCCATGCCTCTTTGTATCCCAGAACCCCCCCCAAAAAAAACCCAGACACAACAAAGATACAGTACTCTATAGGGGTAAATCAATTAAAATTCTTCAGTTTTATACCAAGCCTGGCACCTCAGAAAAATGGGTGGAAACAAAATGCTTACCTTTTGAATAATATTTGAAATGTTTTCTTTTAAAATGGGATAGGACAGTTTCTGCAGTTTTCATTGTGTCACTCAACCAGCTAAAAGCAGTCTCTCTCAATTTCTATATTAAAGAGGCATGCAACATTATCCAAAGCAAAGTATCCTGTCCTTGAATAGGTTCATTTTATAACCATCAGAGTTCACTCTCATCTAAATTAAGTTTCAGTTTGTTTACTGATGAACAATCCATTACCACTAGGGTGGATAAAAATCAATGATTTTTTTAAAAAAATAAAAAAAATCAGATTTTTTTTTATTTAAATCGGATTTTTTTGAATTAAATGGGATTTTTTGATTTAAATCAGATTTTTTTTATTTTTATTGAATTTATTTTAATAAAAAACTTTTGGGGTAAAAATCTATCGTAAGATAGTTTTCTATTTAAGATACATAAATAATTTAGTTTATTCAGCATGAAATGGAGTTTAGTTATGTAGCACAAGGCTGTATATTCTGCAACACCAGGACTATCGGTGAGTCAACAGCGGATCAAAGGAGTAGCAGAGATGACAGTTGCTCTTTAAAAATTATGATTTAAATCGAGTTGATTTAAATCAAGTCTTTTTACTAGTGATTTAAATCATGATTTAAATCATGATTTAAATCGACTTGATTTAAATCAAATCCACCCTGATTACCACCACCTTTGGGATACAAAGATTTATTTAGAATTTCTATTTTTTTCACTAGAAGCATATTTAAGAACTAACAATACTCCAAATTAAGTATCAAGATACTTAAAGATAAGAGAAAACAATGGGGACTCTTGTGCTTGCCTATCATCATAATGCCTATTATGTATAGGAATAGTTCAGAGAATCAGATTTTTATAAAGAAGGGAGGTAACATATGTTATCTTCCAGGCCCATTCTAAAAAAATAACCAAGGAAGCTCTCTTTCAATCTGTTGGTGCAGATTATAGATTTATCCATTGAGCAAACTGGAAGCCAGAGTCAAAGTGACTCAGCTTCCACAAAAGATACCATTAAATGATATCATTAAACATGTACACACATCCCTTGCAAAAAAAAATAACATCAGGGAATACAGTAACAGAGACAAGAATACTATACCATCCTTAAAAATGGTTAATATACTCTATCAAGGAAAACACAAAAGAGAAAAATTAGCAATCAGAAAGCTAATAACAACCCAGGGAAGAGAATGCACAAAATTTGTATCAGGATTTATAGATAACTCACAAAATCAGTTAATGCCAAAAATATATAGCACAATTGCTCTTACCTCATCTGCCATTACACGCTTCAAGTTCTACAATTGGGGAAAACAAAGAAAAAAATGAATCAATAGACCACAAAAAAACCAGTAGCAAATGAGAAATGGCTAGGAATACACATAAAATAGACATTAGTGTCCACAAATATTTTCTTCTTATACAAAACGCAATTGGACTTCCGGCAGAGCCTCCAGCTCTTGAAGTAGTAGAGATAGTTGATCTCTGTTAAATTTTCTCCACAGTTACAGGTTTAGAATATTTTCTAAGCCAGAAGAACAACATACACACACCAGGAAAGGGGAGGACTTGAAATCAACCCTTTTGCTCTCCTGAGTAGCTGGATGCTCTCAGACTGCTTCTTGAAGAAGTAGTAGTAATTGGGTGAGTCCCTGGCTGGAGAGCAGGGCAACCATACAAGTTCACTATCTGTAAGGATTGCCTCGCCTTCTAACTTAAGAAACTACGAACTCTTGAAATGTAGTATTTCAAAAGGAACCTTTTATTAAGCAAAAGTGACAGCAATGGATTCAAAGCAACATCTGAATACCCTTAGGCAAGACAAGTAGGATTAAAGCAGTAGAGACAACACCACCCCTTTAGCCAGAATGCAGATTTTAGCCAATACACAAGTATGAAGATGTTTTCTTTACCAGCTGCCCTGAGAACCAGATAAGTATGTATTCCTATCCCTATCCTCCATTTCCTTTAAAGTGAAACAGCCCACATGACCGTCATAAACATTGCCCCAAAATTAAGGAGATTTCAGGGCTCTTTGGCGCCAGGATATAGGTTGTAAAATATCTGTTGGCACAGGCAATGCTAATAAATCGAATCCAAGCCCACCCACCCTTCTCCCAATTGAATGGCAGTATCACTTTTAGGGATCTGATATGCTGCCTCCTTAGAAAAAGAAAGGATCCATCTATGAAAAGATATAAACGAAAAAAATCCATTATAGTATATTAACAAGGTTTGTTAGTGTATTGGGAGTGAAATTTTCTCAGTAAGATAGGAGTCCTAAAATGGTGTTTAGCGACCCATTTGTTTTGGGATGAGGGTAAATGTTTCCAAGCAACTAAGTATTGGATTTTCCCTCTGTGGATCCTAGAGTCAAGGATTTCCTTGATTTCCTTGTTGTTCACCTTCAACCATGATGGGAACGGGTGGTGTAGATGCAGGTGGTCTAAGGGATGAGATTACTTCTCTCTTGAGTAAACTAATATGGAATACTGGGTGGACTTGCCTAAGTGTCTTTGGAAGGAGTAGTTCAACTGCTACTGGATTGATGATTCTAGTGATGGGGAAAGGTCCAATAAACTTTGGCCCTAGTTTCTTTGATGGTTGTAATGATTTCAGGAATTTTGTAGATAAGTATACTCTATCTCCAACACGGAACGGTTTGGGTTCCATCCTTTTCTTGTCAGCTTGAATTTTAAAAGCCTCTCTAGCTTCAGTTAAGGCCAATCTAACCACTGGCCATGTGTTTTGCAAATTATCCATCCACTTCTTAAGTGAGGGGATGGTGAGTTCTTCTGTGGGTAGTTCAGGCATGGGGCTGAAATCCTGGCCTGTTGCTATTCAAAAAGGAGTAAAACCAGTGCTTGAGTGTACAGTTATTAAATGCAACTTCAGCAAAAGGTAAAAGTTCTGTCCAGTTATCCTGTTAAAAATTAATAAAACATCTTAAATATTGTTCTAGCACCGAGTTCATCCTCTCAGAATTTCCGTTAGTACACACGTGATGAGATAAGATCAACCCCTGGGCAATGCCAAGTAAGCTCAAAAATTCTCTCCAAAATTTGAAGGTGAATTGGACCCCTTTGTCAGAGATGATCTTTTGTGGAGCTCCATGAAGCCGATAAATGTGTATTAGGAATAATCTGGCTAAATGTTTAGCAGTTGGGATCTTTTGGCAAGGTATAAAATGTGCCTGTTTTGAAAACAGGTCTCTCACAACCCAAATAACAGTATTTCCAGCACTGTCTGGCAATTCTACAATAAAATCCATAGCACTCTCTCTCCATGGCGCTGAAGGCTCAGCTACTTTCTGTAAGAGTCCTGGGGTTTTCCCCTGACGTCTTTTTGCTGCTGCACAAATGGGGCAGCTTGCTACATAGCTTTCTATGTCCTTTTTTAGTGATGGCCACCAATTTTTTTTTTTTTTGCTTTAATTTATATGGCGCCCTTCTCCAGAGACTCAGGGCAGCTTACAATGTGTTAAGCAATAGCCTTCATACCTTTGTATATTTATACAAAGTCATCTTATTGCCCCCACAATCTGGGTCCTCATTTCACCTACCTTTGAAAGGATGGAAGGCTGAGTCAACCTTGAGCCTGGTGGGATTTGAACTTGCAGTAATTGCAAGCAGCAGATGTTAATAACAGTGCTTTAGTCCACTGTACTACAGGCTCTTAAAATTGTCTTTTAATTAGGTGTAAAGTTTTCACAAAACCAAAATATCCAGCTAATTTGGAGTCGTGGCACCTTGCCATTAAGCATAGTCTTTGGCTGTCTGGAACATACAACTTCCCTCCCACCCAAGCCAAGTCCTCTTTCATCAGACAGCTGGATTTGTGGTTCAAAAACCATTCATTGGTGGCCAATGCTTGTTTAAAAGTTTGGGTGGTGTCATTGTCCGTCAATGTTTCTTGTTTTGCCTGGGATCTGGTGATTACTTTAGCAGCCAGTTGATTGTTTTGTACTATGGGTTTGATTATGTCTGACTTTGCACCATTGTATTGCGGTTTTCTGGATAGTGCATCTGCCAGAAAGTTTTCTCCCCCAGGGAGAAATTTGAGAGTAAAATCAAACTGTTTAAAGTACTGAGCCCATCGTACTTGTTTCGGGGAGAGTTTCCTTGGGGTCTTTAGGGCTTCTAGATTTTTATGATCAGTCCAGACTTCAAAAGGCATCTTATTCCTCTCTAGGAAATGCCTCCAGGTTAAAAGTGCCCAACGAACTGTGTAAGCCTCTTTCTCCCAAATGGTCCACCTTTGTTCAGTCTCATTCAACTTTTTGGATGTGTAAGTGCATGGTTGTAGCTGGTCTTGCTCATTTTTCTGAAGCAGGACCACTCCTTTTGCCACATTGCTGGCATCTGCTTGTATGACAAATGGTTTCTCTGTGTCCTAGTGTTTTAGAATTGGTTCTGCTTAGAACTGCTGTTTAAGTTTTTCAAATGCTGCTTGGCATTCCATTGTCCAGTTCAAAGGCTGCTTCCGTTTAGGGTTGTCCTCTCCCTTCGTTTTTAAGAGCTTGGTAATGGGGAGGGCAATCTGAGCAAAAGTGGGGATAAACTGGCAGTATTCCTTGGCGAATTCAAGGAAGCTTTGTAACTGTTTACGCATGTGCGATGGTTCCCAATCAAGTACAGCCTGCACTTTTTGAGGATCCATTTCTAAGCCCTGGTGTGAAATGTGGTACCCCAAATAGTCTATTTTTTCTTGGTGGAATTCACATTTAGAAAGTTTAGCATAAAGTTTGGCAGAGCAGAGTTTGTTTAAGACTTTTACATGTTCTGCTTTGGTTTCAATGTATATTAAAATGTTGTCCAAGTAGACCAGGACCCGCTTATACAAATGCTGATGTAGTACTTCATTTATTAACTGCATAAACCCTGCGTGGGGACCTTGTAATCCAAAGGGGAGCACCTTGAATTAGTAGCACCCAAGGGGGGTGTTAAATGCCGTTTTCCACTCATCCCCCTCCTTAATTCTGACACGGTAGTAAGCCTCCTTTAAGTCCAGCTTTGAAAATTTTTTCCCTTTAGCGAGGTGTGCTAGCATATCTTTCATAAGGGGGAGGAGGTACATATTCTCCACATTGATTGTATTTAAATTCCTAAAATCAACACAGAAACGTTTTGAGCCATCTTTTATTTTCTCTAAATAACACTGGAGCTGCGATTTTTGGTCAGGCTGGCTCGATGAAACCCCTTGCTAGGTTTTTCTCAATAAATGCTGTCAGTTCTTCCAGCTCCCTCAGGGACATGCTGTACATCTTGGGTTTAGGGAGTTTAGTGCTGGGTAAGATTTCTATCGCACAGTCAGTGGCGCGGTGGGGGAGGAGCTCATCTGAGGCTTTTTTGCTAAAGACTTCAGCCAAATCCTTCTATTCTATGGGTATGCCCTCGGTTGGCATGATGTGACTAGGCATGGCTGTTTCTCAGTGCTCTGCCCCCTCAGTTTCTTTATGTGGATTCTCGGCAAAAATCACATGCATCTGAAATTTTATGATGCCTTGATTCCAATTAATTTTGGGGTTCCATTTTTTCAGCCAAGCAAGGCCCAAGACAAACAGCCATTCCATGCCAGGTGCCACTATACATGTAAGTATTTCCTCGTGGCTCCCGATGTCTATATGTAAAGGCTTGGTGGCAAAAGAAGCTGGCTCCCACCCTGCTATTGACCCATCTAGTTGGCAGAAAATGATGAGGTTTTTCAGCTTTCTTATGTTAATCCCCAACTTCCATACTAGGGTTGGGCTGATCAAACAGCAGGTGCACCCTGAGTTCACTAAAATGGAGATATTTGTCTCCCTGTCCCGGTTTGGGATAAATAGTCTTAAGGGGAGGGTAAGTGGTTTAGTTAATTTGCTTACCAGTGGTTCATCTTCTGGATCGCTTCTGAATGAGTGTGATTCCTCCTGTTGAGATGCTGGGGTTTCCTCCCCAAAGGGGGGGGGATGGAAATTCTATGATCTTCCTGCTCCTCAGGGCAGTCTCCTTCCCGCGCTGGCCAGGTTTCGCAAGTTTCACAAGTTTCCCCTCTGGGCGGGTGTTTGCGAACGACCCTCTGCAACTCAGTGCCCCTCCTTTCCACACTTGAAACAGGTTGAGGATTTCAGAGAAAATGCGGTTTGTGGTTTAAGGGGCTCTTGCTTCCATTGGGGTGGGAATTTCTTCCGTACTCACCCCACTCGGTACCAGTTTCTGGTCATATTGATCTCGGCTTCTTCAGCGGTGATGTAGCACTCGTGTAGGTGATTCGGTGTGCCTGGGTCCACGCAGGCATTGTATAGATCATCACTCAGCCC